TATGTTAAATTTTAAGGCATTTTAAGTTGTTAATTGACCTGTATATGCTAAAAGGAGATTGACTCCATATTCCAATGTATACAGTATTATTATACATCTGTCATCGTAACACCGTAAGTTACATGCAAATTCCAATATGGAATGATTATGCACATAAGCGTCCTCTAATAATAAAAACAAACATGTCTGTCACCAGAGTTTGACTAGACTCCACGCAAAGAAGTTCGCTGATTCTGTTCTAAACATGATGAATTTCGATATTCCCATGGTGTTATCCTTAGAAGAAAAAGTTGTATAATAATAAGGCTATTAAGAGAATACCTCAAAGTATGCACTCACACAGTACGCAGCGCATCAACCTCCGCTGCACGTTGGTCAATACTCCACCTGTACTGTCTTCTTGCATACTTTGAGGTATTCTCGTAATAACCTTATGACTTTTCTCAGAGCCCATATTATTGCTCAATTGAAATAGTAAACAAAAGACAGAAGTATATGGCCAACTGAGACATTGCCTATCTAGTCAAGGCCATTGTGAATGCAACATTATGCAGACCTTATCTTTTTAATTACCAGGTGTAACTCACGCCAACATAACTTTTTATAGTGAAAACATTAAAAAATGTATAATACAGCAAAACCATACAACCAAAAACATGAACACTGTATGTATTAATGTTTGCATGTGTAAATGACACTGCTTTTGATTAGACACTTGCATGTGAAGAAACCAATTTACTTTCTGTATGGAGGCATGATACTGGTGAAATATTAGTAGTAACTCTTCTGACACACAAAGCATATACTGGTACTACATTTATTCAAGTAATTCATGGATGATGTATGAGAAAAGCATATTCTCTTATGTTGAGCATTGGTTTCTGAGCCAGTATGTCTGACAATAATAAATTGTGACATTTTAATTGAACAGTTTATAGTTTTTGATTCATACATGTAAGAATATCTTGTTAAATTGTAATGTTATATTAGCTCATTTGCATAATTCAAGCAATTTCTGGAGATATTATTGCTAAAACACCATCATTCTGTTTAAAAAATATGTTTACAAACCAGAAAAAAAAATAAAAAGCCTTACTTGGCAAAAAACAATCAAGATTGTGTGGTAGGTGTGTCACTTTCCTGACAGTTCCTTGGACATTGTTATGCAAATTTATTTATTGAATAAATAAACCTGTTCCAGTAGGGTGCTACATTATATGTAGAGAAAAAGTTCTTTGTTTAGAACACTGACTATGGCTACTACACCAGGGGCATTATGTTATTTATTATATTTGAAAATAATGAATAGTGAATAATGTCTTCGGTAATGATGGCTGTAACTGTACATTCTGTAGATTAAACACCCCCCCCCACACACACACACACACGTATACATGTACATGTCAGTCAAATAGTTGGTTATCTTGGGTAGACAGTCCATGGTCAAAGACTGACATTGTACAAGTTGTGATACTATACATTATTTATTGTGTGCATTATCATTATGATAAAGACACATGCTCTGTCATACATTCTTGATTGGTATCTTTGAGTGAATTATAATCGTCTCATATATCAAACTGTATGCTGTATGTGGGATGCACACTTCATGCATTCAGTACTGAGAGACATTTTTGATTGGTTTGTTTCCATGGTTACTTAATGTTTACTATTTGTATTCAGCTTTCAGTGTTTGTTTCAGTGTGTACAATTATTCAGTATTGAAGTATGCATTTGTTTCTATATTCATTTTTGTTTGTTTGAATAATAAACAAATTATTAATATGGATGTCACACATCATACATGTATGCAAGTCATGATATAATCAGGTGATGTCTGTAGACGTCTGTGTTGTAGCATTCACCTTATTGGCTATGGTTGTGGTTGCCAACAGATGCAAATTATCACATTAATTCGTAAAAACATTTATGCAGTTCCAGATTTGGATCTCTTGACATCAAAATTTAAACTTAATTTTATTAATCATTTCAGTAATACTAGGCCATAGCACTTACATCATCACTCAGCATACAAATGTCTGAAGGCAAATGTCACTCGCACTCACACACTGATCAACAATAATAATGAACTTTATTGTTCTTGTGTAAAGTGATACATTAAATAGGATTTTTGCAACAACAACAACAACGATTTTTTTTTCGTTATACACAATGCAATGTATTAGAACATTGAAAAATAATTTACCAGAATGAATGAATGATCAATACTAGCTTCTGCAATGGCAATATTGCCCGCAAGTTGTTTTATGCAGGGACTTGTACATGTACATGTATATTTAATAGTAATAGCAGTGAACACGGCCATTATTTTATATTCATTGTGCCAATCACTAGTTCTTGCTGCAAGATCTCAGATCAAATTTGAGGTAAATATAGGCTTAATTAGGATTTAGAATTGAATCAAAAATAATTCCAGACAAGTTCCAGAGTGATCACAAAACAGACAGTTGGGATTACCTTGCACACAGTCACAAGATGTCAGATTTTATATCTCATTTTTATCTGAATTTAAACCTTGGATTTAAATTTTAAATATTCAGAGTAGTGATGTTTAGACGAACAACAGTTTTGTTTTCCATTGCCTGCAGACAAATTATTGGGTTACATTGGCTATGCAACAACAACTGTTGTCAGCCTAGTCCTCATTTTTATATAACACATTTAATGATTGCATGAGAATACTGTGTTTGAAATGTTGACCTAAATAAAAAACTGGATTGCATTGACTATTGTACCATAGATTCTGAGTCCTTGATGTTTTTACATGCTATTGTACTTACCGACAATAAAACACTGTAAAGTAGACAATTAAATTAGAATGTGCACATTGGGCAGTTCATTTGATACACTGAATTACCAAGCAGAAATTACCTGTATCATGGATTTAATGATGCAGTTTATATGTTGTGTAACTAAATGTAATCTTATTTTGAGGGCTACTATTGTTTATTAATAACACTGTATCAACCATCAAATCACCATACAATGAATGTACTTGTAGTCATTGGTGTTACCTTAGTAGAAAAGCAGCTTGCCTGCTCGTATCGCTATGTATGGGTGTTGCATTACAGGTTCCAACCCCATTGTTGATTATTTCCACTCTTTTCTTCTATATCACAATGTACATTAATTTTTTACCCATTTCAGTTGTGGAATTTGTTTGGAATC